GTCTCCTTTGCGTTTTTTTCAGTCTGGTTTGGGGGGGGTCGACTGCTAAACTGGGTATAATAATGAAGTTAAATTTCAGTTTCATGTTTTACCGTCAGTTTCGGGTTAATATTTGCATGCAAAAGACTAAAAGATAACGCTTACTTGCTTCCAAATAGCAATCTTCATTGTTATTTTGAGAAGCTCGAGGAAACATTCCTTTGGCCATAGTTTTTATAAGCACTTATTTTTACAGCAGTCTCACATAAAGGCTGTGGTGGACAGCCTTCTTGTCAAGGATGAGTGCAGGCATTTGTGCTGGGAAGCTGAGCTGTGGCGATTTGAATGTGGCTCACTGAAGTAAATAACAAAGGCTTCTCGAATAAGAAAAGCTGTAAAAAAAATCATCTTAAAATGAGACCAACCAGAGGGCTTTGAGTCTTGGCAGTATGTTGATACTGCTGTAAAAGACGCAGTGCTTTTTTTCTTTCTGGGTTTGTTTTTTTTCTTTTTTGTTTTTTTTCCCCCTCTGCCCCCAAGTGAGCACCCTTTCTATTATGGGAAATATAATCAGCTGATATCTATAATGACACTTAATAATTTACTTAATTGATGTTATTTTGGTGCTTCCTGACTGATTTCAAACAGGCAATTCTTGTCCTAAAAATAGTTGTCATTGAGTATACAGATCAGGTTGTCTGCTTGTTATAAGGAGGTTGGTTTTTTTAAAAAGTAAAATAGGGTTATGGGTGTCCCCGTAACACATCCCCCTGCCCCATCTTAGTAGCTAGAGTTAGAGTTTGTAAGAAGAGAGAAAGTGACATCCTTGTGACAATTAAATGCTTACAGTGAATAAATTTCTAAGCATTAATCAATGTATAGTAATACTATTGGTGAGAAAAGCATGGAATTGTGGTAGTACTTCAGCACTTAAATTTTTTTCTTTTTTTTTTTCTTTCAGTAAAACCATAAAGCACTTTAAACTTAAGGTGCTGAATTGACCTTATGATGCCTGTTTCTATTCCTAATTAATTACACTGTCTGTTACTACAAAATGTAAATTATTTTGTCCAAGAGCTATTTTTGTATTCAAATCATATTTTCTCTAAAATAATTACCCATACCTTCAAAAAAAGGATATTAAAAAAGGTCCTGCTTTTCTATTTGTTCTTATATAGTGTAGTGTATGTAAGTTCTCATTATTTTTGATTAGACAAAAATCTAATCCACAATCCCTGCAGTTTATTATTTTTAACTCTGGCAATATTGATTTCAGAGATGAATCAATCAAAAAATGTTCACAGTCAGGACAGTGGGAATGGGACTGAGTTGGTAACACTTTAGTGCTGCCTGGCAAGACATAGCTACAGGATGTTTGGATTTGGTAGTGCGGTTCAGGCAGAGATATCTCTTTCCCACTGCTTCCCCATCTGCTTAAAGGCAAGGCATAACCTGGCCCTGCATGTTTCGCTGATTTGATCATAGAGGCCCTACACGGCAAGTATTGAAAATACAAGGTACCATTGTCCAAATTGAAAACCTTTTAGAAAACTCTACTTGGATGGCATATGCTTAGAAAAATACAGAGGTCTGAAATGCATGTTATCATTATTTCTTTGAATTTCAGAAACTGAAGTTCATCTAGTCATCATTGACAGACAAGGCATCAAATGGTGGTACTTCCTTCTATGTCCAATATTCCTTTGGGTTGGGCCCCTTTTAACAAAATCCGTCTGTTTCTTGTTTTATGCAGTGGCCTTTAGCTTTACCTGTTTCCTATTTAATGTAAATAAGAACTTGTATGAGTAGACAAGTATAAATCCAGACTAATATAGTATGTCCAACGCTTGCTCAACTTCTTCCCAGAGCGCACAGACTTCTCATGAGGTGCATTTGTTTTTTCACCTCCCAATTTGCTCTGCACCTGTGCAAGAAATATTTCAAGTCTTTTGAAATGGTCATTAAAATGAAAGACAAACAAGAAGCAGAACCTTCCTGGTCATCTCAGACAGCTGTTCGGAAGTGTTTGAATGTTCAAAAAATGCTGTATTATTACAAATTGTACACCTGAAACGCCCGCTCTTTGCCGAGTACAGTAAGGACAAATGCAAAAAAGAGAACCCTGGTACTGATGGTACCAACTATGCATAAGTGAAATTGCAGGGAGCACTGGGATGTTCCTTATGTTCAGCTGACTGAATTTGTCATTCATCATGTAAATAAATGCACACCTACCCCTTGTACAGAGGACAAGGCTTATTTCACAGCCTTTTAGCTTTCTATATAAAGCATGTAGGGAAAGTGCTTAATTTTAGCATCCCCAACTCCACTTCTTGTTCCCTCCCATCCTTATTATATTCTTTTGCTTCTTACTTGCTGGAGAAAATGATAAAGCCAGTTAAGAATTTGGAAAAAATCTTAAGTGGAAGGAGCCTGCAGAACAAACACAGTAAGGCAAATTGTTACTTGAAAGCAATTTATATTGCTGCACACATGGACTGTCACAGGACTGTCACAAGCTGCCTGAAGGTCGGGCAAACAAAGGGCAGTGAAATGGACTGGGGACGAGGTTTCTGCAGATTACAGCAGTGACTGGCAGCAGGTTTCTCTTCTAACAACTTTATTCCTCCCTGTGCAACTTAAGCAGTCATGCAGAATGCCATATGAGCAGTGTGCAAGAGGAAGCAATTTGGTCATTAATCATTGACAACATGAACACTAAGAATATACAATTGTGTTCATTTAGATAGCATCTGTCTTGGAAGCTCTCTGTAATTATGACCTTATGCACATCTATGGTCATCGCTTGTCTCATGGCTAGATGTCATGAATAATCTTGCTGAAGCAGTTGTTTCTGGTTGGCTTTGTTGTGGGGCCATCTGTACGAATATGTGTTTTATTTCTAACAATAAAAATGAAGTAATTTTTTGTGCTTGCTCTCCCAGGAAGCGTGTTTTCGCTGTTCTTGGCATGCTGCTAGGCTGTAAGATCTTACCCCATATTGGTGCAGTATGGGAATACTGCACGACATGAATTGTAAGCAGAATGGAGTAAAAAAAGAAATTGATATTGGTTGTGTTGCTAGACATGAAGAGCAAAGTGGCTTCTGTTTGTTGAAGGAAAACAGATAGGGAAGGAAAGGACATGCCAATTTAGGAACTTGGGGCCCGTATTTTTATGTTTGTTTTTGGAATCCCATGGCATTTTATGCAAAAGGACCACAAGTCTTATTCTGACTGCTCAGCTTTGAGTGGTTTTGTCTCCATCACAAATGTGACTGTAGATTTCATTTAACATTTGGATACCAAAGGGATGCTGAGAAACAGCTTCTTTGGATCCTTCTCTGTTGTGATAGGGTTGGCAAGATACACATTACAAGGAAGCTAGGATAACCTTGTCTTGATCTAGGGATTTGCAGAGGAAGGGTGGGTGAGGAGAAGTTGCATCTTCTGTGATGGCAATGCACATTTTTCATTTTTTTGGTTACGATCAGGCTGGACTGTCATCTGAGCCACAGGAGTCAAGGCAGTGAGAGAAGGGAGGAGAGGGCTGTTAGTGTTCAACCACTTCTGAAGCCTGTAATGTGGTTGTCTGCGAGGTGGTTACTGCATTATCAGCATCTTGTCCAGAATTTAGTCTGTACCGGTTCCAGTGTTGGCGCTGAGGATGGGTGTATGATGCTGCATTGCAAGGAATGGCACCCACAATCCATGATGTACTGGATTCAGGTTTCCGCTTGTTGTATTCTGAAGCGAGTAAAGAACATCTATGCAGTAGTTGTAGCTAAATGCTGACAGTGGCTGTTAACTTGGTTGAAGGACTAGTAAAGAAATAACATGGCTTTCAGGGAAAGTTTTGCATTCAAGTTAAATAGCTGATATGAGTCTTACTGCAAGCAGTATGAGGAGTTAATATTAATGCATATATCATTTGATTCATAATGGTGTTCTCTGTTAGGTCTGATTCTCATAAGCATTGCTGTTGATGACTTAGAAGAGAAACTAAACTGTGTCATGGTTTAACCCTAGCCAGCAGCTAAGCACCACGCAGCTGCTCACTTGCTGCGCCCCCCCCCCCCCCCCCACC